ATATACTCACCAATCCAGAAGCTTCTGAACCCCTTTTGTGTGGTGAATTCATTAATAAAGGTATGAATGCTTAAATCATTGGCCACCGGCAACTAATTCTACCTCTAGCCCCTCACCATTTCTTGGACTTGGAAGGAGAAGCCTGGAGAGGCTGGAACTGAAAGCAACAATGCTCTCACAAAGTTGGGCCCATTAGCAACCACCCCAATCCTTAGATTACTTAAGTGCTTTTTAAAAGCCATTTCAGTACAACAAAAGACACCTATAAGGCTCTAGTCATTTAAGAAATTCCAATGGTTTTAGAAGATTTGAACCAGAAACTTGAACAAAAAACAAATACATATTTCTAATTATAAATCAAAATATTAAAAATACTATCTGTGTAGGCTGGATCTCATCTGACTTTTAGGTTCTCTATGTGGTTTCCAAGAGTAGGCCTAATCATGTAAGAGTGAGCCTTGATTAGTTCTATTGTGAGAGTCTCAATGTCTAGTTTCTTTATAAATGATAAGTGAACTCTTCCAAGCAAAAGGTCACATTTTTTTTCCTTTATCTCCTCAGAAATTGTGACTTCCTAGCATGTAGAAGGCTCTCACTAAGAGTCTGAAGAATATGCAATTAGTCATTTCTAGTGTCATTCTCTTTTATAGGCACAATGATACACTAGAATTCTGCTTCAAATCTCAACTCTAACTCCTAGGGCCACAACTTAAAATTTGCTTGTTCTTGTACAGTAGTAGTGGAAGATGGAAGAGCATTAAGACCAGAATGGTTGACCTGTGCTTCATGACTATGTACTGTGTAGGAATGGGAATGTCATAGAAGTGTTTGTTGAGGAAAAGTTCACTTTATTGGTACTGGTCAGTAACACACATCAAAAAAAGAGGATGACTAAGAGATTAAGATGAAATAGAAAAGGATGAGGACCATTGTCATTGTGATGTAAAATAAACAGTATAATTTGGGTTCTAAGAGAGTTAGAAAGAATAATATATCAAAGTTTAACATTTCCTGATATGATATAATTTATTCACTTATTTAATAATTAAATACCTAACATATACCAGATACTATGCTAATTGTTTATAAAAGTGTTCAACCAAGAAATACTGTCCCTGTCCTCGAGGGGCTTATTCTGCAGGGTATTCTGGGTAAGAACTATGCTGAATATGAAAATGTATTTGACTAGTTACATCAGAGTCTAATTGAAGATTCCTGAAATGAAAGAAGTCAATATATTTGAGAATGGATGTTGCACAAGTTATCCCATGAGTAGAACATAATGGGAAATTAGAGGGCAATATTGTGCCAGCTGCCCAGATACAGGGTATGTGCAGGGCAGAAACATAGAAGGGTGTTATGCTGTGTGAACCAGTAACAGAATCTCACACATGCAAGAATTTTTGTATAAGGGATGGGCAGTGATTTAGAAAGAAAGAGCAATGTTAAGCAAGAAGACTACCAATCTTGACCCAACCTGGCCCTTGACGTAAGCAGAGTGTACAAGCCCCAGCAGCCACTTCAGAAATTGAAGAGTAACTAGAATTCAGTTAAGCCAGGGAAGGGCATAAAACATCCAGTGAAGTAAGTAAAGAACTCAGAAAAGGAAATCTTGAGAGAGTAGGAAGTAGCACTAAAAAGGGACAATGTCCTCTGTCTTTCATAAAGTGAGAGATGCTGAATTTTCTCACTATCATATAATTTCAGTATTGAAATTATATGATATATATAATACATATCTAGTTAACTCAATTTTGCTAGTTAACACAGAATTAAATTCTTTGTAAGGTAGAATTTGCTTCTTTTAAAAAAATGTACTATACATCTCTATCAAAAAACCTGTGGAGTATGTTTTTAGCATTTCACAAACGTGGAAAGAATTAAAATGGCTATACAATTTCAGACCCTAGGTGATAGCTGGAATTGTGTGATAAAACATGACTATTTTAAGTACAACAAAATTTGCCTTTGGCCTTTTGAATATTTTACCATGTTCTTATGCCTTTCAAAATCACTACCCATTTTTACTTCCAAAAATTTGCCGAGATTGAGGTATAGTCTTGTGATTCAACCTGTTCTTGTTAGGGCAAACTTAGAACATTATGTGTTCTGAACTACAAGGCACCATAGTAACCAAGCAAAACTACAATACCATGAAATTTTTCATAAATTTAGGCCATTTTCAAAATTTTTTTAGGAAAACAAGCAGTTCAATGTTGATGGCATTTCTTTTTCTAGGTTTTTCTTCTATAACAAAGCTGTATTTGTTGGGAGGGGGGATAACTGGAAACATTACCAGGTATATGGGCAGAAAATCTGCCAATTATTCTAATTCAAGCATAATAACATTTCAGTTTACTGAATAAAATGGATTAATTTTAAAAAGTCATTTTATAAATACAGCTTCAGTGAATCTTTGTCATAGAGTGACAGCTTTAACACAGAGATTAGGGGGACATATCAGGAGACACACTGCTATGGTTAGAATTTCAGTTTTTTTCTCATCAGTTTTAAGAATCGTCTCTTTCTCCAGTTTTCTTCTTTTTTTTTTTTTTTTTTTTGGTAATATTACCTATATCATGGAAAGTTTCAAAGAATTATTTTTAATAGAACATTTATAACAGTGCTTGGCGCCTAATAAGAGCTATAGGAGTGTTACTTATTAGCAATGTGTGTTTGCTATTTATATAGAAAGCGTTTTATAACTTTAAAAATTAAAAACTCACTTCTTTCCAAAAAGTACATAATACTATATAAATCAAAGAAGTAAGCATAAATATAAGAAAGGAGGAATAGAAACCAACTTTCCAGTGCTTAACATGTGTGAAACATATGTGTTACATTGTTTAATCCTCAGAGTAGTCATGTAAAGTGTGATTTCATTGATTTCATTAAACAAATGTTTAAATCCATTTCTCAAGATCCATGTCTCAAGTGGGACATTTAAAAATGGTATTTATAGAATATGCGTTAGGTAAAACAATGTAAGCTGTATTGTTCAGCTTCTATTTAATTCTAGTATTTTAATAATATTTGAGATATACACAAGAAGAAAATGTTTCATTCCTATTCTCCAGCTATAAGCAGAACCACATTCTTCATTGTTTTTCACTTTTACTTTCACCCAAACCTGTAGTTCCAACCAGATCTGTAATATAAATAATGGAAAAGTCTTTCTATTCCTGCTTCAAATTCACCTGAGGATCACGCAGAAATATGCATACAGAAATAATCAGTTGTTGAGTCTATGATGCAGAGTGAAAGAAATGCATCACATCAAGAAAGAGGTGGGCTTTCTCCATCTTGTGAATCTGGGTGTGCTCATGTAGCTGGTGGTGATCAAAATTAGAGAGCATAGGGCCTCCCCGGGTGGCGCAGCAGTTGAGCGCTGGGTTGTGAAGCTGCACGCAGCCTCTGCAGCACTGGTTCGGTCCCCGGCTGCCGGGAGAGGGTCCCATGTGGCGCACAGATCTCTCCAGCCGCCCGCTGCTCCCCTCAGCAGTGTACTTCGTCACTCTGCCTGTTCTACTCTCCGCTCTGGCTCTGGTAAATTCTCTCACCCTCCCGTGCCTCTGACTGTACCAAGTGCTTGTATAAATAAATAAATTAATTAAAAAAAAAAAAAAGAAAAGAAAGCAAAACAAAATAATTTTTAAAAAATTTAAAAAATTAGTGAGCATAATATAGACAGAGGAGTGAAAAGTGTTCATAGATTGGAGTTTTCTACTATGAACCTTTCTTCTGACATATACATAAGCCTGGATTAGCCAACTAGAGGGTGGAAAAAAAACTACAAGGAGGGAGGGCATTCCAGCAGAAGTCCATAGACTAAGGACATACTAACCACCAACCACCAAACACTTGAGTGACATCATTCTAAACCAAGCCAGCACAGACTCAGGAAATGCCAAGTCAACCCAAATAATAGAGAAAAATAATAAATATTTCTTGTTTTTGCCACTAAGATTTGAAGTGGTTTTTGAGGCAGCAAAGGCTTTCTGATACAACAGGCACACACTGGGCCCTTTGCTTGGCATTTTGGGTGTTTCAGAGATAAGTCATTGTCATTACTTTGTTACAACCCTAAAGGAGGTGGTAGTTGAATGAGAAAGTCAAGATATTGATATGTTATAAATATGTGTCTAAAAACAATGACTGAATAACATTGTTTGTGAGTACTAGAAGAGATACCACAGTAAATTAAACTTAAATTCACCTCGTAGTTAAGGAGCTATGGAAAACTTTTCTTCCCACCATCTCAAAGTCTATATAAGGACAGGAGAATATTTTCAAAGAATTTTGGAACTGAATTTTACAGGCATAAGCAATCTTAATGAACAACAACAAAAATTCTTTCCTGGAAAAACATTCCACCCACCCAAACTATGCCCCAGCCTGGCCCGCGGGCATTCACCTTAATATTCAAAAAGACTATTTTCCAAGGAAGGTTTTTGGGTGAAGGCGCCTGCTCCCCCAACACAGGATTAGTCAAGCTTCAACAGCCAACCTCTCAAGCGGCCCCAAGAGGCCCCGTTCATGGAAACGGCAGAAAAACTCCAGACCAAAATTTGGACACCTCACAGTTGACGGGAGGAATAAATGGCTTCGAGGATGTGCAATGGCACAAGCCCAGGTAGCTGTGTGCCTTTGACCTTGGGAATATCGACCTGAGGGCCCCCCCAGAAGGCTGTGCCAGGTCTGTGCCAAAGAACACCTGGCCTCGGGGATGGCTTTGGGTGGTCTGTCAGGTGTCCAGCTGTAAGTCAGTCTCCTTACCTTGGGCAGGCTTCTCGAGAGAGGCATGGCAGCGCGGGGACTGACAGCGTGGCTCGAGGCGTTCACAAGCATGGCGGCAGGTGGCGTGAGGCAAACTTCTCAAGAATGAGCTAGAAGCAGCTGCCGCAGCACCACGTGACAACAAGGTGCTTCTCAGCCGCACCTGCGCCAGTTCTCGCAGAGCCCCCGAGATCTCGCGAGACAGGCATCCTGCGGGACTTCGCACCAGACGCCGCCATTTTGTGAGGTATCCCGAGGGGCGGCACGTTCCCCACAAAAGAGAAATAAGGTTAGTTTTATTTTAATTTACTCCTTCAGTAATTCATCAACTTGTTCTAGGGCTGCTAAGGGTATACATTTTGACATATTCTGATTTCTGCTCCCCTCCATCCTCAGAGTCCAGCACCTGGACTACGTCCTCAGCCCTAACCTTGGCTCGTTCCCACACGCTCATTTACCATGAAGTTGATAATGTTCAAGGTTCAGGGCCTCCATATGCATTTTTCCTGGGATGAATTGCACATGGTTTTGGATTTATAGTTTTTTGTCGTTGTTTTCCTGAAGTCCCCCACAGTGGGGCAGCAGGTACGTTTGTTGCTGCTGTTGGCCTCCTGTGGACCCAGCCCATTAAAAGTGATAAGCTGTGGGGCCTCCCCGGTGGCGCAGCGGTTGAGCGCTGGGTTGCGAAGCTGCCCACGGCCTCTGCGGCGCCGGTTCGATTCCCGGCTGCTCCCCGGCCACCAGAGGAGGGTGCCACATGGTGCGCAGACCTCTCCTGCCGCCCGCTGCTCCCCTCAGCAGTGTACTTCAGTCCTGTCTGCTCTGCTCCCCGCTCTGGTTCTGGTGAATTCTCTCACCTTCCCGCGCTTCTGACTGTACCCAGTGCTTGTATAAATAAAAAAATAAATAAATCTTTAAAAAAAATAAAAGTGATAAGCTGCAGGGTCAGTCACACTCAGGGACAGGGGTAAAGGGAGGCATTAGAGGCAGGAGTATGTGGAATGGAAATTCAGCGGCCCTGCTGAATCTTCTTGCCACCGTGATTTGGCTGCTTATTCTGTGTTGTAAACCTGTAACTGTTTTGTTCTGTATTGTTTCCTTTTTCAAACGAAATTATTTTGATGGTAATAAGTTTAAGACACAAAAGTACCTGTTTAATGAGACAATGAAGACCCATTTTTGTAATTCAAGATTATTGATACGTGTTTAACTTAAAATGTTGGTCTGTGGTGACTATGGGTGCTTTGGTGATGGGTATGATGTGCTGATTGACATCTGAGGTGATGAACCTATTCTAGGCATAGTCACTGTTAACCAGTGTTACCTCAAAAATACTAGGAAGGGCCTCCCTGGTGGCGCAGGAGGTTGAATACAGCTCTGTGAAGCTGTCCACAGCCTCTGCGGTGCTGGTTCGATTCCCGCCGGCCTCGGAGCAACCCACATGGTGAGCAGACCTCTCTTGTCTCGCCTGCTGCTCCCCTCGGCAGTGTTTTTGGTCCATCTGCCTATTTTGTGCCCCACTCTGTCTCTGGTGAATCCTCTCACCCTCCCGCTTATCTGGCCTGTACCCCGGTTCTTATATAAATAAATCTTTAAAAAAAAATACTAGGAAATAAAATTTTAAAATTTATATGGACATCTGCCATCCACCAAGGGCACAATCATATAACATTACTCTAAAAACCAGAGAACACAAATATTAAGAAGCTTGACTAATTTGAAATTTATTAATTCTTCTAGGACTGTGATCAAATGTGGTTAATATGTGAAGCTTCAAAGGTCAGCTTGCATTTCACTCCAAAAATACGACTTTTCCTTTAAATTATATAGTTGTTCTTCATCAGTTTTAATTTTATTCACTGTGACTTTAGATTTTCATATATATATAAGTAAAGTGATGACTGTTAATGTTATTAGTGATGGGAAATTATTCAATGACAGTTTTACGATGGTATCAGTTGTTTGAAATAGAAATCAGTTAATTCTAATTATTATGCTTTGTTTCCTAATGAAGCCATATTGTAGAAAAACAAAATGTTTTGCAAGGACTCTTTGTCCCTGCTTGCTCCCCATCATCAGACAAATTTTAGAAATGCTGAGCCTTTGGAGAATAAATTCAATCTAAATGTTCTACAACAGTATAGACTAGTATTGGAAAGTAAATTCTGGTTCCACATTTTTCGGCTAAAAATCTTCAATATAAGTATACATTCAACAAATAGCACTTCGACTGAAATATTATAAATTCAAATTATTATTTTAAAAAAAAGCTCACAAACAGGACATTGATATTTATCCCTGCAAAAGCCAGGGATAAATTTCAATTTCAATGCAAAAGTATTGATATCCTAAAGACACTAAATAAGAATTCAAATAACGTATAGGGTGAATTTTGAACATCTTTAACTGTGCTTAGGAATATCTCCTTTATAAGAATATTGGATTGAACTATTTATAACTGTATAATTTGATAGTCTGTCTGAAATGAATTGAAATTTAGAAGGCCTATGATTTTTTTAGCATCTAAATGTATGAGAATTTTTTGTACATAATAATCATGAAACAATCCGATAACAAAGATATTTCAAAAATATAAAATATTAAGGGCCTCCCTGGTGGCGCAGCGGTTGAGCGCTGGGTTGCAAAGCTGCCTGCAGCCTCTGCAGCGCCGGTTCCATCCCCGGCTGCTCCCCGGCCACTGGAGGAGGGTCCGCTCCCCTCAGCAGTGTACTTCGGTCTTTCTGCCTGCTCTGCTCCCCGCTCTGGCTCTGGTGAATTCTTTCACCCTCCCACACTTATGACTGTACCGAGTGCTTGTATAAATAAATAAATAAATAAATAAATCTTTAAAATATATACATATAAAATATTAAATATAAATATAAAATATATACCCTTCACTTTCAGATGTCTCCTGATGTACATGATAAATTGTGTGATCATCCCACTATATGATACTTGATGGTTGTTTGGATGCTTACCCTAGTGTGATATCAGGTATTATTCTTGCAGCCACTGGCATAGACACTAGGAATGGAAAAGTAACTAAAAAACCATCACTGACTTCCAGTAACTTTTCATGCACAATAGAACTGCACATGCACTTGCACACACACCCTAATAGAATTGGTTCTCTGTTGAAGATATAAGCAAAACTGGTAGGAGGAAATAGGGTTTAGTCACTGGAATAGGGATTGCATATATTTTGGCAGCTTACTTATAGAGCAGAATGTACAGTTTTTGCAAACTTGACCACCCAGCAATGTATTTCAAAACAAAATTGGTCTGTGGTGTCAAAGAAAAATTGTACCAGAGTTAAAAAGGCACTAGTGAGTCCCTCTAGTCCTGAAAAGAAATGTGGGTGACATTTTAAATGCTGAGGTGACTTAGTAGAAACTACTATAGAATATTAGGGTAGAGCTTGGTGAGTGTCTTTAGGCCATCTGTGTATGTTCATCGGTGCTTTTAGGAGTTAGGTTTCATCCCTCCCACAAAGACAGGGAGATAGGGACTGGGGCACCATATTTCTTGATTACATTTCAAAGTGATGATGGTTCCCAAGTCCTCTAGAAATGTATTGCTGGGTTGTGAGACTGGGAGAAGATTTACATCTCAGAAGAAAAAAAATTATAATTGCAAATTTTCTTAAAATAAATGCTCTTGGAACAGGGAGGTCAGTGTCTCACAGTCAGGAAGCAACCTGTCAATTCTGATCAAACTGAGGGAATGTTAAGGCCATCTTACTCAATGGATCTGTGAGCAACACTGTATATCCAAACCTCCAGCTTAAAGGAAGATAAAAAAAATTGACTTCTTTCCTGTTTTTCCAGTTTGGTGAGTTTATTCTTGTCTAACAGTATAGAATCCTGATGTGTGTGCTTTTGTCATTGAAATCCTAATCACATGGGACTTGAAGATTTAGTTTGAATAAATCAATACTCTTTGTGTTGTTATAGTCAGCTTGGGAGACACACTTCCTTTTGGACAGATGGCTGCCAGAGTTCCTTTATTAGGAAAGATCTCACTTTTTTCGAGCATTAAAGCCAGTGAAAGTGTACTTTTCTGCAAATATGATGACAATGATAGGATGTAACATCTGTTTCACAAGAGACAACTGCATAACTGCATACAGTAACTCCATGTTGAATTTAGTTTAGCCACTAAATCCTTGCTATGTTCCTGAGGGGAAGCATGACTAAAACAAGGTAATATATATATATATATATATATATATATATATATATATATATATAAAGACCTTAGCTTGTTCCCAAAGATGGAACATTCAATAAAGATACAATTTATATATAAATATATGTTTATATTTCACAAATATATTTATTTCACATTTTTGTCTTTGACATTTGAACATACACTACTTTTTAAAAAAAATTATTTTTCTTTTTTCTTTTTTTTTTTAACATCATTGTTCATTTTTAAACAATATTTGCCTCCCCCCCCCCCTTGAACATACACTACTTTGATATGTTGTTTAATAGCTTTATTGTTGTCTTCGGGTTGTTAAAAGGTAACCATCACTTTGCTAATTTATTTACTGAATGTGAAGTAAAATATACAAGAATAAAATGAAGCAACATGGTATTTAAATCCATGCCTTCCTTTTCTTAGTGAATTTACTCAAGTTCCTTAACTTCAATGACATTCTGTTTTTTCTCTTATAAAATTGAAAATAATGGCAGTTCCTTTGCAGAATTAATATGCTTATTGGAGATTATGTATGGTAACTTCTTAAAACAGTGCCCAATAATATGTTACTGTTGATATGAAAGCTTCATGAACAGTGTGATTATCAGAGGGAAAGCTGTTATTTCAAACCTATAAGGCAGTTTTGAACATGCCCACAAGCTGTTCTGACCCCCAGTGTACTCAATGAGTTTTGTTTTCTTTCACTTTCAAAAAAAATTTTGAGGCTGATACTACCAAATTATTACACTAAGTTATTTGTTTATGAATAGTGGGATCATATCCCTGGCCAGTGGACTCTGAATTCCAAAAAGAAGAATTTTTTCAGAAGCAGTTGAAAAGATGATGTCTATTTCTTGATGCATAGGATTTGGTAGCACTGATTCTTGGCTAAAAAACGATGGGCATTAGCAAAGTCTGAATAGTTGAATATGATGAAACTAAAGATACTGGAGTAGTGCCTGAAGATTTATTTATTCATTCATTCATGCTTGCATGTATGCATGCATTTATTTAAAACATGCATTGAATGTCTGCTATCTAATCAGCATTGTCACAGGTATTAGGAAAAGGCAAATATAATAACTGATATTTATTTATTCCTGCTGGTACCAGGAAATGGTTATATGTACTTTTTTCTTTTTTACTCCTTTATTCCTTGACATTTCTCATAAGGCAAATATTATTGCTATCCCTATTTTCTAGATAAGAAAATTGGGACAAAGAAAGGTGAGGTAACTCACCCATGATAATATAAAGTAGCAAAACCAGAACCCATGCAGCCTAGCTTCAAAGCCCATAGTTTTAAATACCACACCACATTCTTTCTTCTCAAATAAACAAAATAGACATGATACCCAGCCTTTACCAATGATGAAGACAAAAATGATCAACTAATTACAGTTAGTATATGATTTTAAAATATTAAAATAGAGCCTGTCTAGGTATAGGAAATGCTTTATAGAGAGATCTTGACCATGAAGGAACATGAAGAGTATCTGAATTGAATGTATTCCAGAGTGGCTGGGACTCATCTAGGGGAACAATGCTAAGTAGTATTGCCAGAGAGGTGAGGCTTCCAGATCTTTTAAGTCGTACCTTTGGTATCAGGCAGAGTTAGACTTGTGTTCCAATCCCAGCTCTGCCACTTTTTTTTTCTATGCATTTTTTTCAAGATTTTATTTTATTTATTTATGCATACAAGAACTGGGGTATAGGCCAGAGGTTTCAGGGGTCAGATCATTCACCAGAGACAGAGTGGGGAACAGAATAAGCAGATCTTCTGAAATACATTGCCGAGGGGAGCAGTGGGTGAGACAGGAGAGGTCTGCTGTGCCATGTGGGTTAGCTCCCTGGCTGCAGTCTGAACTCATGCCACAGTGGCTGACGATAGCTTGTTAGCATGAGACAACCCCTGCACCACCAGGGAAGCCCCTCTGCCACTTTTTGCCTTTATACTTTAGGCAAGGGATTTTACCTCTCTTAACCTAGTTATTTTAGAAACCTCATGAAGTTGCTAAAAGGAACAAAGATTTATTTCATCTGTGTGACTTAGCATAGTGCCTAGCACATATAAAATTAAATAAACTTTACTTATTATCACAATTATCTTAAATGCTAATTTTAATTCCAGATGCAGAATCTAATCTTTTTCCATACCCTAAAGTGATGATCTATATAATTTATACTCTTAATATCCATAGAGCAGACTGTAAGCTAAGCTGTTCTGCTTTTTTCATCAGACTTTGGGCTAGGAAAAAAAAAGAAAAAGAAAATTTAAAACCAAAAACAAACATGCTAGCTGTCATGAAATTCCATTGTAATCCAACTCCATTGCCTGCATGTGTACATGGGGTGTGTGTGTGTGTGTGTGTGTACATGTGTATGTGTGTACACGGTAATTTGGACAACTTTTTGTATTCCAATTGCATAGTCCAGTCACCCAGGTTATTCCCATGGCACACTTATGTTGAAATCCCGTATCACTGGCTTTATTGCTCCAGAGTTGCAAAACAACCCAAGGAGAACTAGACAAATGAATGAATTTCCAAATTTAGCTTCAGTGATTATTCAGAACAGTGACTCTCATTCTAAGGAATGATGTGGATTACTGAAGTAGATTGCCAAAGTAGGTGTCAAATTTCCTCCTTACACAAAACTAAGGTAGTTCGTGAGTTCATACAAATTCACTCACAGTACAGTTCATTTATTTTTGTTTAGTGTGACTAAAGGGAAGGAGAATTTCTGATTTCTGTCAAGAGGGAGGTAGATTATTCAGAATCACCATTTAAAAATCCAAATAGGCAGAGCTGACTCTGACTGAGGGAGCGTAAGTCTATTTGACAACCCTGAGCAACTGGCTTTTTTTGGAGGATAGAAAATCAGTAAGATTTTCTGTGTATATTATAGCCTTGTTTGCTCCTTAGCAAATGAACATCTTAGGAAGAATTTATTGATTGCTCAAAACAATAGGCAGAGGAAGTCAACTAAGTGGGTGAGGAGGTATTTGGAGGAAATAGAATATTTACAAGGAAGGGAAAGGTGCTAGCAAACACCTCAGAACAGCTAGGAAGATGCCATAACAAGATTTGGCCCAGTGCAGTGTCATTAAAATTTTCATGTGCCTCCCCTTCCACAAAAGTTCCTTTGTTTCCTAATACCTGTAGTAAGCCAGGTTGTGTCTCTCTCATGGAGCTGATGCCATTTGGATTATGATTTTATCTAAGGAATACCCAGGAGGACTATAAAAACAAGTAAGTGAAACCATGTATTGTCTCTAATTGAGAATATAATCTCAGACATAAGATATGTAAGAACATCAGAGTGATGTTCTTTCTGATGAACATCAGAAAGATTTGCACTTCGCCGATGCCTTGTTTCCCTTTCCACTCTCTATTTCTTGAGTTTAGTGTGCAGTTGTTCACATCTGCTGCTATCATGTTTTGTTTTTTTTTATATATAAGATTTATTTATTTTTATTTATACAATAGCTGGGGTACAGGCCAGAGGTGCGGGAGGGTGAGAGGATTCAGCAGAGACAGATTTGGGAGCAGAACGGGCAGACGGACAGAAAGCATTGCTGAGGAGAGCAGCGGGTGAGACAGGAGAGGTCTCCCACGCCATGTGGGCATCTCCCTGGCTGGCCAGGGATCAAACCCACGCTGCAGAGCGGACAAGCTCCACGGTGCTGCGCTCAACCCGCTGCACCACCCAGGAGGCCCCTGCTGTTGTCTTTGTGCCCACAGTCAAGTCATGGAGGAGTCCCAGGGGCTCAGCCGAGTACATGACCCCAGGTTCTTTAGGTTCACAGTAATTGCTCCAATACAAACAAAATGAAATTTATGTATGGAACAGCCAACCAGAAGCTCAGTAGCATAATTTAACCTTAAACTTTAAATATTGTGCACAAGTTTGGCATAGTTCCAGGAAAGCATGCTGTCTCTTAAAGAAGTAAATTGTTTCTTTTTCATTGTGTTTGTCTAAAATTTCTGATCATTGTTGATCAAATTATCTTTAGTTATTTGCTATATTATTATCAATGGAGTATTAGAAGTAGACATGGGGATTTTTAATTAGTAATTGCTTGCAAGAAATGAATATAATCTTAACAGAAATATTTTTCTGTTACTGATAATTGATGTTCCATTAAATTGAAAATAATGGACATCCTTGTCTTTGAAAGAACCTGTAAATCTGTTGAATTTTGAACTTAATTCTTTCTGAAATGTGTACTTACTAATTCAATTTTGAATTGAAGTATTTTGTCATTTTATAAATTAAGTGACTTTTCCTTTCCTCACACACAATGAAATTGTTAATCTAATGGTACTGCAATGTAATGATCTCTTTTGAAAGAACACTCTAGGCAGTTTTATTCTGATAAGCCACTGGAGCTTAGGAAATTTGATTAATTTATAGCATTCATATTAGTGACCTGTAAAATTATGAGGAAAAAACCTAATTTGGCAGTGTGATTGATTTTTCATTATTCTGTCCAAAAGATCATTTGAATATTCTCATAAATATTATAAAGTAGAAAAATCTTTATAGACTCTTATCCTGACTTAGTGTTCCTTATGATTTTTTTCTGTGATTATAATAAATGTTAATAATGACAATGATAGTGACCATTTTTGAGCAATTGCTATATACAAGGTGCTATATTCAATAATTGATTTGGTATAGTTATATAAGTGCATTGACTTTATATTCACACAAACCCTGTTTTCATTGCAGCATTATAAACACATCTTTATCCCAGTACATAGTTAGAGCTTATTCATGACTGTTTCAGGGAAAGGCTGTGTAACCTCTTAGAACTCAGTCTATCTGAGAAATGGAGATTACACTAACTACATAGGATTGTCATAATGAGAGAGACTATATGCACAGCATTAAGCGTAATTTTTAAGAAATGAAATTAGTGAAAAATAGACCAGTCTACATTTTAAAAAATAAGGTGAAATTATATTCAAAAGACATAATTTGTGGAGACAAACACAGTATTTTCTCTTGAATTATTCAAATAATGACACTAGTCTTCCATTTCCGTTCTTTTACATATGTGAGACAGTTTAACAAGTTAAATTAGGGCCTCCCTGGTGGTGCAGCGGTTGAGCACTTGGTTGCGAAGCTGCCCGCAGCCTCTGCAGCGCCAGTTCGATCCCCTGCTGCTCCCCGGCCACTGGAGGAGGGTCCCACATGGCGCGCAGACCTCTCCTGCCACCCGCTGCTCCCCTCAGCGGTGTACTCTGGTCCTTCTGCCTGCTCTGCTCCCTGCTCTGGCTCTGGTGAATTCTCTCACCCTCCCGCGCTTCTGACTGTACCCAGTGCTTGTATAAATAAATAAATAAATCTTTAAAAAATAAAACAAGTTAAATTACTTGCTGGAGTTGATTTATGCTTAATGCTGTGCTGAAAACTTAAATTGACTTAAAAATTTGTTATTTACATGATGACTTTAGATTTTTATAAATTGAGTTACATTCTCTATATAAGAAAACTAGGATTGCCATTAAACTAATAGGTGCAATTGTACCAGTCAGTCACAATTTTTCCTATAGTCTCCTTTATATTTCATTGAAATATTTTGACTTTTGTCTTTCATCATGTGTAAATACAATTTATGTGAAAATTGTTCATATTTAAAAAAACATTTCATTGAGCACAAAATTATTTCACCTGTCCTTGCAGACCAGTAAGAGGCAATCATTTTTTCCCTTCTATTTTTATTTGAAATAAGCACAGAAAGACCAAGAAAATTTTTGGCACCCATTTTAAATCATTAGGATGTAAGGATGTAATAGAACTTTGGCTTTTATGTATCTGTGACTGCCAAAATATAAAGAATCCAGTAGGCCTGTGTACTCAGCTGTGCTAATTGTGATTATATTCTGCTATTTATATGTATTAAAGTCAGTGGAATTAAGACTGTATTGTGGCATATCATGGTGGCATTTTTCCTTCAGGAAAGACTTAATTATGTAAAAACTGAGGAGAATTCAACAAATCTTTAAAATAAGATGAGAAATTAAGAAACAAGAAAGAGGGCCTCCTCTGGTGGCGCAGCAGTTGAGTGCTGCCCGCAGCCTCTGTAGTGCCGGTTCGATCCCTGGCCACTGGTGAGGGTCCCACATGGTGCAACAGACCTCTCCTGTGGTGCCCGCTGCTCCCCTCAGCAGTGTATTTCGCCAGTCTGCCTGTTCTGCTCCCCGCTATGGCTCTGGTGAATTCTCTCACTCTCCAGCGCTTCTGATTGTACCCAGTGCTTGTATAAATAAATAAATAAATCTATAAAAAAAGAAAAAAAAAGAAGCAGCAAACTAAATTCTAGGTTTAGTGGGATAGGTTTTTTGGGGATTGCTTTTGTTGTTGGTTCCCTAAAAATCTAACTGATGGTGTCCTGGAGTTTTCTACAAGACAACACATTCATGACATTCTTTTGCTTTAACTATCTTATTTGGTGGTAGTTTGCATACTCAAATTGTATATTGGCTGAAGAATATATAAAAAATAATTTAAGAAAAAGATCTGATCTGTCTGACAAAAAATAGCAAAATGATTATTCTACATTGTTAATTATTAGTTGACTGTGTTTAATTCATTTAAATCCAGGCTAAAGAAGAAAATGAGATCAATACTGAGGGGCCTATAAAAGTTCTACTCCAAGGGAAGAGGTAAGTAAATGCTTTTGTGTAACCTGTTTCTAAATAAAACCGCCTTACATTTTAGAAAAAGGAAGCATACTGTAAGATGTATAGTTTACAAAATATAGCAAAATAAAAAGAACAGAAATATATATAATTGATGGTATAAGATCCTGAAGAAAACTTTGGTAACATTTTGGTGTGTGTCTATGCATGAACTGTGGTTTATTTTACATAGTTTTGATCAGACTATGTGCAATATTTTGTGTTGCCTTTCCTTAGTTTGTTACTATGCCAGTTTAAAATTTTCACGTTAGTATAAACTTAATTAACATCTTTAATTCCAGAAGAATATTTCTTTGAGGATATTGGTAGGTTGGTCATTCCCTTATTTATATTTTTTCTAATATTGCAAAAATAAATAATCTGTAGATACGTAGGATTAAAATTTGTTGGGGTAGATGCTACAAAGTTTCTTGATATACTTGTTTTTTACATTATTAATAGTGTCTGCACTATAATCACTGCTGAATGAAGATAACTGCATTGATGTACCATTTAATATTATGACTTTTTATTCTTGCTTGTACAAAAAAACTAAAACATTAATTTCATGATTAGATCACCTGATCACTTCTTTCCTTACATTTCTTGTTCTTATTTATTTTTATATATGATAATAGATTTCATTGTTTTTTTCTCCATCAGTCTGTAGAGGGCCACTTATTGCTTCAACATTTATGTTTCTCCATCACCTGTATTTTAAGACTTTTACCTGGAAAATCTGAGTTTATCTAATTTAACTAACCTTGACTTCCTATCTCTTTTCCAAATGCCAATAGATAATATTATTTGTTGAGCATCCAATTCTTCCTATAAAGTCCATCCAGATAAATTCTTAATCAACATGAACTAGGACTTGTACAAATTCTAATCTATGTTGTCAAATCTTCCTTTTTCTCTTTTACCAAGACAGGAAGAAATAATGGAAGCTATTTGTTTTGATCTTCATCTTACTTCGGCTTTGTGTTGTTTCATTTAGCTCTTGTTAGAAAATATTCACTTTCAACTTCTTTTTAAAATTTTGATTTCTCCAGAGCCATCTTTGGAAACTTTGGTTTGGCCCCTCCATATGTATATACTCACTCATACATGTCATTGACAAACGGTGATGAGAGAAGGAACCCTATACTTATGAAGACTAAAAGTAATGAAATATAATGTATTATAAGAATAGTTTTTGTTGTACCTTTGAAATAAACATTCTGGGGAAGTAGAAGGATCTTTAACAAATTGTAACAAACAGATTAAATTTTAGCAATAAAAAGTGGTAAAAGTCTATTTACATCTAAATTCAAATTGTACTAGAGCCACTGACATTTCTTTGGCCTGTTTTGAAAGGAAGTGAGTGTCTGTTGCATAGGTTGTTCATTTTAATTTGTTCAAATGTGTTTTCATTACCAATTGGTACAGAGGTGGCAAACGGAAACAGTTTTTGGAGGGAGACCAAATGAAGAAATGTGTTTTTTTTGAGTCCCTTCCAGTGGCAGCTAATTTGATATCCCTAAGGAAATATTTCTTCACAATAATTACAAGAAAAATAACAACATTTGATTTCCAAATGTTTGACAAAATGGAAACTCTCCTGTTTGCTAAGTAAACAGGACCAGTGGGTCCTTTAGATTCCATACTTTAAAAAAATCTTTAAAAAAGGTTATGAAGGAGAGAATATTTGAAATGTGCCTCAAATAGACTATAAAATCAATCTAACTAAATTCATGTACTCTGAATTTACCAAGACCTACATTGTTTGTTTGTGTGTTTTTTAAGTTTGAGGATTTGGGGCCGCTTGTTTCATTTTTTAATCTTTCCTACTTTTCACTGACTCAGAGTTTCCTTTATTCTTTTCAGTTGTTTGGAAATTAGGCATTTATTTAAAACATCATCTTGTGGTTACTGTAGGCAAGTGAATTTTAATTATTAATTTTGATACCAAAATAGCCTAAAATTTTGAAATTTCCAAACAGTTGGATAAAATAAATTTAACACGTGGAACTGAAATTACTGTCAGCAATTTTTAAAATCTGTTCTTTTGTCCAAGTAAATGCTAATGAGAAATAGTGGCAAGAGGAAAAGTGACCACAACAACTGGCAGATCTAGTTACTTTTTCAGCTTTTAAAATTCATTTTAAACATGAAAGGCAAATATATAGACCAAAAATAAATGCTACCCATTCTTTAAATAAAGCACATTAAAAGTCAGAAATGATATCATTCTGTAAAACTCCTTTATTTGTTCTATATAGTTAACATTTGAGAAGTTCCATTTTTACCTTATAAATCTGACAAATACTTGGGATCAATAAAAAGCTATTTAGTTTAAAATTTTATTACATAAAAATAATAAATACGTATTAATTTGTCCAACTTATCCATATTTAATTAGTCCATTTCATGTTAGAAATATATTCTGAGTAAACATAAAACCAGGTTCTTCCATTTCAAATGTACTTGATAACCTCTAAGCTTTGCAAGTCAGTTAGTCAGAGTCTGCATCATATCACACCAGGGTGATCCCACAGTTTTGTTTTTATTCCTGTCGCTGTGACATAAGATCTAGCCATGGCTTTTTTTTTTTTTAAAGATTTATTTTATTTATTTATTTATTTATTTATTTATTCATTCATTCATTCATTCATTCATACAAGCACTGGGTACAGTCAGAAGCGCGGGAGGGTGAGAGAATTCACCAGAGCCAGAGCAGGGAGCAGAGCAGGCAGAAGGACCGAAGCACACTGCTGAGGGGAGCAGCAGGCGGCAGGAGAGGTCTGTGCGCCATGTGGGACCCTCCTCCGGTGGCCAGGGAGCAGGCGGGGATCGAACTGGCGCTGCAGAGGCTGCGGGCAGCTCTGCAACCCAGCGCTCAACCACTGCACCACCAGGGAGGCCCAATGGCTTTTTCTTTTTTTTTTTTTAAATGCCATATTGGGTGATGATTATTTGTGGTAGAGAGAACCCATTTAAAAAGAAAACTAGAACATTTCAAGATGTCATTAATAATTCCACATGATGAGTAATTGCTATTTAAATGTCTCAGAGGCCATTCATAGTCATTTTATATAACATGGGGGGGGGGACTAGCAAACAACATCATTAGGTTTGGATAAATCACTGATTAAAATAACTAAAGCAAACCCAAGCCAAAAAAGGGACTAAAAGGGTAACATTTTCTCACAAACTTGTTTTAGGAATGTCTACAAAAACATTCTTTTAGGGAGCATAGCAATGTTTTTCATACTTTTTTGGACCCTTAGATATTCACCCAATAAAATTGTGCTGTTTTTGTTTTTTAAAAATTGGTACATGATGACAGGTTTGTACTCCTTGTGGGAATAATATTTTCCTGGTGCCCATGTTCCTTCATCTCTTGTTCAATTATTTGTAATAATCAGGAAAGAACAAGGTAAATGAATGTGACTTAAAAACTTACTTAAGTTGTGCAGAATCATACTTGGATGACTTGAAAGTATGAATTAGTTGGTAAGTCTTCCAAACTGACAAAAATGTTGAATCAGTGCCCAAAAGGTAGATAAAATTGTACCCCAGCTGCTCATTGCAGATTTTCGAAATGATCAGATTTATTTTCACTCACTCAACATTCCTTGAATATGTGGAAAGTATCTGGCACTGTGCATAAGCTAGGACAATGTAAATATGTCATAGTTTCCATTCTTGAAGAGTAAAATGTAAACGTAAAGAAATAATCTTAGTTTTATTCTAAAAAATTGGTACCACAGTCTTAGAGTCCCTTCCTTCATTTGTGTATTCAATTTTACTTCCTATGGATCACTACATATTAAACTGATTTCACCAAATGTTCTTCAATGAAATAGGTGTTACGATGGTCTTCTCCCAAACCTGTCATCAATCTCTAATTTTCTTTTAAATGTACACAATGGGAATTACCCAGAATTTTATATTGTCTGATCAATATAGCACACTGAAAATGTGGTATTATTGCTTTTTTCCTGCCTCCAAATTACTTTTGAAATAAAAAATATTACTAAAAAAAAGCAGGTGGCTACTCAGGGGGAGGGAAGAGAAGACATTACCAAAAGAAAAAGAGGATAGTAGGAAGTTATCCTGTGAGGAAGTTTTGAAAAATAGTGAAAAAGATGATGTGGGATTGATAGATATTTAGAACAGTTACCAAAAAGCATATATAAAATGCACATACCTCTTGCAGAGGTGAAGATTGGTTTTCCGGTAAAACTCTAGGAAAATTCCCAATCTGGACTCAAAGGGAGGCAATCTGGATGTGGTTCCAGAAACTTCCTGTCAGATGCTAGGCAGGACATGTAAATCATATTCTGAAAATACAGAAATCCTCAGGATGGGGCACTTGAGTCAAGCATTATAATTTTACTCATATTACATCACATTATCTGCAAATAGTGGAGTTTTACTTTTTCCTTTTTCAATATGGGTATGTTCTATTTTTTTGCTTGCCCACTAATTTAAGGCAGGATTTTCAGTAATATGTTGAATAAGAATGTGAGAGTGACCACTCTTTGTCTTGTTTCTGATTTTAGAGGAAAACTTTAAATTTTCTACCATTGTTTATAATGTTAACTGTGGGGTTGTTGAAGATTACTTTTATTATGTTGGGGTTTATTTCTTCTACACCCAATTTGTTGAGGGTTTTTATCATGAAAAAATATTTTATTGTGTCAAATGCTTTCTTCTACATTTATTAAGATGGTAGGATTTTTTTGGGCCTACCCGGTGGTGCAGTGGTTGAGCGCTGAGTTGCGAAGCTGCCCACAGCCTCTGCAGCACCGGTTCGATCCCCAGCTGCCGGGCAAGGGTCCCACATGGCGCTCAGACCTCTCCTGCCGCCCACTGCTCCCCTCAGCAGTGTACTTTGTCACTCTGCTCTCCCCTCTGGCTCTGGTGAATTCTCTCACCCTCCCACGCTTCTGACTGTACCTAGTGCTTGTATAAATAAATAAATAAATCTTAAAAAAAAA